CTGAGTTCTTAGTTCTATTTACATTTATTTTTGTTGGGAAATCGTTGAGATGAGGTTGGAAATCGTGAGCCCAAGCATATGTTTTATATTATAAGACACTGTTTTAATTTTAATTTTAATTTTTTTCAAGTCACTTAATTTCCGCACGCCTCACCTTATTTTAACCTGCTAGCGTGAGGTCCAATTGAGTGAGTTAATACGGTACTATAAAGTTACGGGATACCCGAGTAGGTGCGAGAAACAAGAATGATTCAGACACCACAGCGACTTGACAGGAGTGATCTGATCCGAAACCTTGCGATTGCGCAATAGGGGGCTCGTGCGGTGGGGAGGATACGGTAGCAGGATTTCGGGGCTGAGAGTTGCTCAGTAACCCGCCTGCGACGACGACAACGGAGGGTGATAAGATTATTACGGGGGCAAAGTAAAACAGCGTAGAATTAAATAAAATAAGTAGGGATTTGGGCAAACAACTCTCGCTAGTTCTCCTATGTTACTAGCCGCTTAGAAGATTTCGGGGTGGAAGGAAGATCGTGAGTCGTCTGAAGTCATGGTGGTGGCATGGATGTTGTCCGTGGTTCCTTTTGTTCTGCAAGTCCTGTGGTCTACGCAGATGGTTCCCTCGACCTGCCTTACCCCCGCTGTCGGGGAGTAGGTAAGGAAATAGGGACATGCATTGAGGAAGAGATATTCAAGCTGTAGTTATGGAAGAATCAGGATTGCTTTGTCATGTTTTATGCATTTCTATACTCTTGTCTTTACAGTTACTTTAGAGAGTACCGGACAGCGGAAGGAAGTTTATAACAATAATGCATCTCCTATAGCTACCCCACACTGCTCAATTCCCACTCGATTCCGCTCACTGTACATCTGCGCCACTGGTATCTGTCAAGGGCCCCAAGAGAGGAGTGATATGGCCGCGAAGAGAAATTTTATTACGCTCACATTCCTGGGCCACGAGATATTCAACCATTGCCCAAGGCGGCCTAGAATTTGGAGCAAACAGTGCAATATGCGGGAGGCAAAAGACAGAAATTACCAAACTCCGCGGCAGTCACGCCTCCTCTCGCTGCCTTCGGAGACCATTTTTCCGAAGCAAACATTTCCTGATCCATTATTCCCAAGTGAGAGAAAGGGTGCGGATTAAATGGAGATTAATGGACTAGGACACCGAATCTATCGCGGAATGGGGCAGTTCCTGGAAACCATGGATGCTGCTCGGGACGCTCGGGATATTGTTTCGCTTGTTCGGATAAAGATTTCGGACATTTGCTATGGGGTCGTGCATCCTTTGATGGAAGTCGTGTATCTGCGGGAAGAGGTCTGGGTGATGGAGCGTCAAAGGGACGGAGCAGGGGCCATGAACAGCGAGAGCCTTTATGGAGCCCGCCTTTCTTTGATTAGCATGGGGGTAAGTACAGGGAAGAGGGACTTGCGAGGGCTGGAATGGATGTGCAGTGATATATGCAACGGTAGGAGGATGTCTTTCTCGCGATTCATATACTCTCCTCTGTCTCTTCCGTTTAATTTAATTAATTATTTGCATCGTGTGGTATCATAGAGCGAGAGAAAGAGAGGATTGAGTAAGACAGAGCTTCCCAACTTTGCCACGCCAAAGCCGTGCGCTTGTGATCCGGGTCTTGGTTCTGATTCCTTACTAACCTTCGCCGTTTCCCAATTTTTCCATTCGGTCGCCGCCGTTAGGATAAAACGAAAAATGACAATCAATTTGGCGAATTGAGGATTTTTGAGTATCAGCTTAGGAAAGCGAGACCAAGTTCAAGAACACTTGTGCTCAGCGGCGGTAGAAAGGGTGAAATGCGGCGCTGTAGTGCCTCGGCTCTCTCTTACCGATCAATCAATGCACTATTTGTTTTCTCTCTTTTTTTTTTTTGTTATTAAGCCTTTGTTTACGACATACTTGCACTCGAAATACCACTTTGGCCATGGTTGGTGAGATTTTTTGGTTTCTATTTTAGTTCACATGCTGTCATGCCACCAGTGAGGATGATGGAATGATGATCGGGTTAGATCGGACACGAAGTCATTATACAGTGCATAATAGATAATAAGATGTTATGTAGCGTCACCAATATCGCGTGTTAAGTATGGGTCCTAGTATATTGTGCGGAAATTTTTGGGGTCAGATATCCCAACCAGTACGTTTCTCGTATGAATGGTAACCCATCGGTGGGGTGTCTCCTAGCTCCTCGAGGTCAGGGTCGGAGATCACCACCCGGGTATGATGTCAATGATCACCGTGCGTGATTCCAGAAATTGGAGAAACTCTTAAAAGACACCATAGCGTCTTGGGGGTGGTGTTCGTATATATCTGTGCTCCAATTGCAGGTATTCGCGAACAGTGGGTGAAACTCGTGGTAGCGGAGGCGAAATCCTGACCCTCCCTACAAGCGCTAGATTATCCTGCATTCTGCCCCAAGGGAATATGTGGTCTGTATAGTGCGAATTTGGAAAGGCTCTTGCATGAGCCGATACTGAATATGCAATACAGAAAAAGTGTTTGAATGATGGTGCGCTCACTGCAGGTGTGCGTGGGTTGCAGTTGTGTTCGCATGAGATGTGTGCGTGAGATGTGACTGCCACAATCGTTGCCAGGTAAAACAAATCATCTTTCTTCCCTCCCGGTTTTCCGCTTCCCTCAACCGACGTTCAGTACCAATATTTCCTCCACCATCGACGACAAATCCCTCCTTATACTCAAAATACATTTCCCTTGATCTACTGGGCAGTGTCAGGCGCTCAACTCATTTAAACTCCCTTTATACACTGAATATCGCAGTTTAGCTACACAATAAGGAGAACATTTACACATTCAAGTCCATTTTTTCGGAGTATATATAATTTCCCAATTCATTTTCCATCGCTAGCTTTTTGGTATTTTCTCTGCCATGTTCCTAAGATGAAAATATGATTTAGAAATGGTTGAAAATGTTGGAAATCATGGATGCTGCTCGGCATGCCCATGAATTTCTCGACTTTCCCATCCGTCCATCGGCCGCGTGTCTATCCGCGGTCCATTCCAGGAGCCGTTGCCTTTTCCTTGAGCGGAGTTGTGCAAGTATTTCGCCAGCGGGATCGATGGTCCCTAAATTAGCGTGGCACTAAAAGTTGCGTCGCCAGCGGGGGAACTGGAATGATTACCGGTAGATAGGAGGCGATTAGATCAGATCTGCCCAACAGGGGAAGAAAAAAATAAAAATAGAACCGCAACCCTCAAACAGTTCTGGCCACGAGAGAGAGTTGCGGAAAATATATACAAGAACAGCCCTTCTACCTTGAACATTCCCCTACCAATTAACGACCAACCAGAACTCAATCACCAGCACAACGTCCAACAACGACATCTACCAAACGCCATTAGCATCCCGCTATGCCTCGGGGGAGATGGCCCAGCTCTTCTCCAACAAGATACGTTTCCGCACCTGGCGTCAGCTCTGGGTGTGGCTAGCGAAGGCGGAAAAGCAATTGGGACTACCCATCTCTGACGAGGCTATTGCCCAGATGGAAGCACACCTCGACCTCACTGACGAGGATTTCAAAGTAGCTGCGGAGGAGGAGAAGCGGAGAAGGCATGACGTTATGGCGCATGTGCATACGTTTGGACAGGTCGCCCCAGCAGCGGCCGGGATTATCCATTGGGGTGGTATGTTCTCTGATATTGCTACCTCAATTGATTGGTACTGCTATTGATACGTAGGGGAATGATCAGCCACTAGTTGTTACTGCACCGACAATGCCGACCTCCTCTTCTTCCGTCAGGGTCTCGACATAGTCCTCCCCAAACTCGCCAACGTGATCTACAAACCCTCAAATTTCGCTCTGGAGCACAAAGACTTGCCGGCACTGGGCTACACCCACTGCCAACCGGCGCAGCTCACAACCGTCGGGAAGCGGGCCTGCCTCTGGATCCAAGACCTCCTCTGGGACCTTCGCAACCTAACCCGTGCACGCTCCGATCTCGGTTTCCGCGGCGTGAAAGGCACGACCGGGACACAAGCATCCTTCCTGGCAATCTTCAACGGGGACCACGACAGAGTCGAAGAATTGGATAGACTGGTCACCCGGCTCGCCGGCTTTGAATACGCATACCCGATCACCTCACAGACCTATTCGCGCAAGGTGGATGCGGACGTCATCTACGCCATGAGCCCCTTCGGCGCGACGTGCCAACGCATCGGCGGGGACATCAGGCACTTGGCGGCAACGAAGGAAATGGAAGAACCTTTCGAGAAGGACCAAATCGGCTCGTCGGCGATGGCATACAAGCGCAATCCCATGCGCAGCGAAAGGATGTGCTCCCTAGGCCGACATTTAGCGAACCTGTGCAAGGACGCCTTGGATACCTACTCCCAGCAGTGGTTCGAGAGGACTCTGGACGACAGCGCTATCCGTAGGATCGACATTCCCCACGCCTTCCTAACAACCGACGTCCTCCTGCGCATCCTCGATAACGTCGTTAGCGGACTGGTAGTCTACCCCGCCGTCATCGCCCGTCGAATCAGGGAGGAACTCCCGTTCATGGCGACGGAGAACTTCATCATGCGCATGGTCGCCCTCGGTGCTTCGCGTCAAGACACGCACGAGGCCATCAGAGTCCTCTCCCATCAGGCTTCTGCCATCGTCAAGCAGGAGGGTAAAGATAATGACCTCATCGAGAGGATCAAGAAGGATAAGTTTTTTGAACCCATTTGGGGTGAGATTGACGGCCTGATGGATGCTAGGACCTTTGTCGGTAGGGCGCCCGAGCAGACAATGAAGTTTGTCGAGAAGGAGGTTAAAGTGGCGCTGGAGCCGTGGACCAGAGCGCTGAGTGGAGAGGTTAGTGAGTTGAATGTTTAGGTTTGTCGAAAAAAGGGGGAAACTTTTCCCATGGAGTGGAATGGGCGATTGGTTTTTTTTGTATCATACTAGTACTATTTCGAGCTTTCGAGGTTAGATAGAGGAAGGTCCCTAGAATATGATAAGTGGCCGGTGAGCTGTAAGATTGCATATCATAGTCGGTAATAGCCTGATTTCGTCAAGAAGAGCGCATAATAGCTTCGCCCGTCGCTATCAAGTAGTATCAAGCAAAGGGAAAAAAAAGTTGATTCCAAACGCCCCGCTCCCCCATAGCAACACAAAGCAAAAGTAGAAGAAAAAATAGAAGGGGGACCGCCAAAATTAGATCAGACTTCATATCATCACACCGCAAGTGCTATACCAAACATCAACCCCCCATACAAACAAGCGCTTTCCGAACTTCCATATCCCTAACTCTAGCTTTAGCAACCCCATCGTCGACCTTCTTCTCCTTCTCCGCCCCCAGTCCATCCCCACCACAAATCGCATCCGCCCGCTTCGTAACCAGCTCTAATCCAGCGAGTACATCCTCGACTTTAGCGACGGCCTTTCTGTTCTCCTCTGTCTCGCGGCGGGTACGTTCTAGCTGCTCTTCCATGCGCAAGCATAGCGTTTTGCGTGCCCGGTGGGGGCGGTATGTGTTGATGAGGTGGTGCATGTTGAAGAGGATTGTTTCTAAGTCAGCAGTTTTCCATGGAACTGAGCAGCAAGAAACAAATTAGCTTCGCAATCCTCGAGGAAGGAGGGAGGGAGGGAGAACAAACCTGCTCCGGTGCCATCCCCATAACCCCCACCAATTCCAAATAATTTAACAGCGAAGATTTGCTCAGCCTCCGAAGCTCGATCGTCCTATCGACCGTGAGTTCCTTGCCTTTGTTCGCTCCTCCTCCCCCGCCGCCGTTGGCTGCTGCTACCGCAGCCACGCTTGTTGGCGGATACAATTGTCGAATACCAGCTGCCTTTAAGGAAGGGTACCGCTCGGAAACCACCCATTCCTCGCCGAAAGCGCGGTAAAGTCTCGGCCGGGGGTGGGGGACTAGGTAGCAGAGCGGATCGGGCAGGGTGTCGTCGGGCGGGAGTGTACCGTCCTCCAGGCAGTGGGATTTTAGTGCCGTGAGGTTTTCCTCGGTGAATTGAGTGTAATATGTCGCTTGAGAGGGCGCCGGAAGGGGGTTCTTGGGGCATTTCCTGTGGTGGATACTTGTGGTGCATGAACCGATGTGTTGGATGGATGAGGTGGAGCTTTGTTTTGCTCGGAGGTGTTGCAAAGTCGCGAGCGGCTGTGGGAGGAAGGGTGCGGTTGTTAGGCGTTAATCAAGGAACGACATCGGCCGCATCTGCCGGTTGCCGAGCCCAGCACAGACCCGAATCTGATGAGTTAGCATAAAGTTAGGGTCAGGGTTCTCTAGAACCCGGCAGGAGAGTGGGGAGAGTGCCCCCGAACGATGCGGTCGAAGCTCGAATGTTATCCGGTTTCCCACCCCTACCTATCTATCATTTCTTCTGCGCTCGGCGCCAATCATTTCCCCCACCGCCAACCACAGCTCCCCATCACTATACCATACCATAAGCGCACTTCCCCCCAATATAGTAGTCGGTGCCTGGCATCCGATTTATTTAAGTTCATTTCACACGCTGAATATGGTTGCTTTTGCTACACCAAAAAAAAACAGAACATTTCCACCCTTGAAGACATTTCTGGGAGAGAGAATATATATAATTTCTCCTTTCGGTAAAATCATTCATTATTGCGCATTGTCTCTGTTATGCTCCTTCTACTCGTCGGAGATTGTGGAGGCTGCTCACACGCTTAGGAAAATGTTTTATCGTTTAGATAAATGTTTCGAAGTGGCACATTGCATCAATGCATCCGTACGAGGAGGGGATATATCTACCGGGGGCGAGTTATGTTCCCATCGGAAACAGTACAGAAGAGTTAAAATATTTAAACAACGGTGACCCTCAGACCGGCGAAACCGCGAAAAAAACGCCGCAACTTTTGCACCTAGCGAAGTCAAGAAAATCCTGACGAGAATCGACAAACGGTGAATCATGTGTACAATGATCAAAAAATGATTGAAAGACGAAACTATGGCGAGGTGGCTACAGTGAAACAGGTATGGTGAACGACTCTCAAAATGGTGAGATGGCGAAGCTAAGGTAACAACGGTTCGTAAAGTTGAAGAAAGTCTAAACTCGTGGAGTGGGGGTATGTCGACTGGGAAGGTATGTCGGTTTAAGACATAGACCGTGGGAACCCTCAGCGAGGCGCGGTGAAACTTGGCCACAAAAGCTCCTTGATTTTAACTACAGATACAGTAGCAAGCCAAACCATGCCGCGCCTCGCTGAGGGTCTACAAAACATGTCTAGGAACAAGAATTAACATCTAACGTCACTCTGGGTCTTCGAGCCTGTAACGAGTGCTGAAGTATATTTTCCCTGCTTTTCTGTGTTCCCGACATACCCCCCAACCAACATTCCCGTCCACAAGTTTAACTAACAGCACACGACTCAAGGGGAAGAGTGGGGGGGTTCTCTGTTCGAAACACTGAACAACTCTCTCGTCTGCACAAGGCCAAACAACAACGAACAAGAATGGTAAAGGCAGGATCATACCAGTGAATTGGAATAAAGTATCCCTCTAACTTCCACCAGACCAATTTCCACCAGACCGATCAACCAGGATCTACACTTGTTCAAATGAGTCCCCCACTCCTCCACACACCCCCATGCTGGCAAAAGGAGATAAACACCACAAAGACTCCCACAGTTCGCCACCCAACTCCACGGAGTTTCCTGGGTTCTCCTGTTCTCTTTCAACCGGAGTGGTATTTCCCTTCCATAGATGCTCCTCTCAAAAGCACATCACCGAAACTATCATCGGAACAAACCTGAACGAAAAGTCAATGGAATGAACATCCTGCAGGTACGAGCTGGCTCTAAGCATGTCGACAAGCTTCTAATAATGTCGAATAGCGTCTAGGCATGTCCAACAGCTTCTATGCATGTCAAACCCGTGCGGAGCATGTCGAGCGGTATCTGACGTTTCCAACGATTTTCAACAAAAGCGGCGGAGTGGAGGCTAGGCACAAAGGGAGTCTTTATAAACTTATCTTTCTTTTACTAGGATTGGAACACGCGGAGAAAGGGGAGACCTGTGTAGACGAGCGTGGACATGTATTGTAATTGGTGGAAAGCAAGGGTAGTTCCTTTGTCGATATTGATATACACTCCTGTCCTTGCCGTTCAGCTAGGTGTGCTGAGTGAGTGTGCGAGTATGTGAGAAAGTTTAATGAGGGAACCTCCCCTCTTTCCCTGCGCCGTACGCTGGCAATCAGAGCTTTCTGATGTGTTACAACCGTCCCCTTGTTTCGCTGTTTAAATCGCCATTTAACAATAACAAAATAGCGGCATGTGGGTCTCGCACGCGTGGTTCAGGTCCGAGATGTATACAGCTGTTCTAGCTGGTTCAGCGCAGTATGGCAAGAGATCTCCTAGTCTAGGTTAACGGTTTGCTACTAATTTTTCATATTCCTTGTTTTGAGAAACCTTTTTTACGCTTACTCCGTATAAGATATTCGCACCAGTGGCTGGCGATTATTCCTTCTTTGCCCAGTTCAACAGTGTACTACCGCCCTCTAGACCACCAGAACATTCCGTGCATCACCTCCGAAGCCTGTACTAGTGCGTAACTCATTTTTCCAGATCTTCGTTCATGAACTACAAACCTCTTTGAGCCATGATGAAGCGGAGGTGTGAGACCTCCTTACTATCCCGACCCCTCCATAGATAGATTACCACCCATATCTCTCTTCCTCCACGCATGCCCATACTCCCGTGGCGATAAACGGAAGAAACCTCTGCAGAACCTTCTCCATAAATAGAAATACCTCCTGCGCAAAAGAAACCAGCGACAACATTCCTACAACATCGAATTACTACCACTCACTCCCTTCACTCGAAGATCTTCTGAGGGGCCAGGACATCGCCCAATTAGCTAGTATTGTTCCCATTAATTTTTATTCTTGTTATTTTCATTGATATCTCTGCTTTACCTTTCTAATTAGTTCATTATTCCCGTTTTTCTCGCAGGTTGATTCGCCGGCGACCCAACCTCGAAATCCCAAGCATGGCCCTCTCCACCAGTAGGCCCTCAATTGCGCAATAATGGAGATCTCCGATCACAAACACTTCTACCAAGTCGGTAGAGCATCTAAATCCCCCTCATTCCTCGTAACTACTCTGATGGTTCCTCACGCCGGGATACAACCTAGACACCATCCTCACTTAGACTCCAACGTTTCAGCTGCAACAAAATATAGCGGGGAAAGCGCAATTGTAAATCCACCAGATATAGGAAGGAACGCAAGCGCACGAGCAACAGTAAATTCACAGAACATATAGTGACAGGAGTAAGTCCTATGCCTATATTATTCCGAAACAGCAAAACTCCACCCAGCTCGGTCCCTCATTTACCATGAAAGATCATTGACCCCCTCAATATAAGATTTACTATAGAATACACGCTAGATTCCTGATATAGAAACACATTACAATACCGACGTAGAATCACTCAGAGCTACTGCCCTTGCCACATGTCACACAACCTATTTGTCAGCTACTCTCCACAAATCATTGGATGAGGTAGTTAGTGTCACACAACAAGCCTCACCTCCACGATTTCTTTAGCTGCCCCCGCAGAAGTCTATACTCCTCTCACAACCCTGCAAATTATCCTGCCATTTCTACATCCAACCTAAGCTTTTGACAGAATAGCCCGGCCCAGACTGCACTCGTAAGGATCGGCGACGGCAGTGCCGATTGAGGCAATAAAATAGGTAGTCAACAACACCGCCAACAAGTCCCACGAGGATGCGCAGATTACACGTTGGCTCTCCCCACCAGAGCCAAATAACTGACACCAAAATAGGCGCAACGAGCGGTTTGACGGTGTCGAGGTTGGCACATGAAAACGGGCGAATTTCGGCGGTGGATACGGGGTTAGGACGGAGCCGATAAGGAGGTATTGTTTTGATCGTCCCACAGCTTCCCTCGTTTATTATTCATTCTTAGTTACCTGAGATAGTTCCGCTCCACAATCACCGAGCGAAGTATTGGTGCAAGCACGACCTCCGCCGATTTTGGTGTTTATAGGCTTTGATAAAGGTTTTTCTCTTCCGGTTTTCGTTTGCCATTTGTGCTCGTTATCTATCTGCTTTTGCGCTCTTTATTTTCTGGGAGCCTTCTCCTTTCTTGGAGCGGTGGTTAGACTTGGCCCACACTATCTCTTTCTTACTGCACTTCGTTCCATCAATACATTGGGAAATCCTCCCGTTTTGCGTTCTGATGATTAAACAAGAATTCCGGGCATGCGGTAACGTTCCAGCGTTTATGCCTCGCTCTAGGTTCTAAGCACAGCGCCTGGAGAAATCCAAGAGGGTTTGCACCACTGCACAATGATCCCTCATAAAATACAGATTTCCGGACAAAACAACTTCAATTCAGTCGTAGGATATCGACGATTCCCTAGTGAGACCCCGACCACGACTGACTTCAAGATGCAGGTGGCATGGCATATCAAATACTTCTTTCTACTTGAAAATGACGCCCCCACTCGCAGAGTAAGAGGGTCCACCCGACACCTTGAGTTAAAGCAGACAATGTTAGGGTCGAATAATATAGCAATTCAAATTAGATGTTTTGCATAGTCACCTAATGTACAATCCAAAACAGGCTCCCTCGGCTACAAAGTCATATCGAAACACAATATTCTAAAATGCATTATCCACACTAAGTTACCATAGAAAAAATAAAGAAAAGCAGGAATACTACCTGGCCCTGCCCTGTGTCATCAAATCAGCAGTCTATATTTTCAAATCAATAATCCTTCCATACTTACCCAAGCCATTCCAAACCCTCTAGGTTTCTATTGCAACTTGCAAGACTCATTTCCGCCCCGCGTTTTACCGAATGCAATAGATTAGAATGGTACTCCATAGAAAGGAAGAAATAAACGTGGTCATCAGAACGTCAATCGTCCGGTCTAGTTCCTGCTCTATTCTCTCCCCGTTCGAATAATTCGGATCGGCTTGTACCTTGTCGGCGGGGGCCGACGCCATGACATCGATAGCAGGTATATCCTTATCCATCTTGCTGCAGAGATCTTTCAAACTTGTGTCCAACATTTCACGAATGTCACTCATTTCAGTGCTCATCCTGTTCTGGCATGCCTCAAGGTTCTCCATCCCGACGTTTATAATAGAGATGTCCTAAGTAGGTGTTAGAGTAATTTTCACCGCATGGTGTAGTTTCCAGTCCTACCTTGTCTAGCTGATCAAATTTATTCCCGGCGATATGTGGAGCTGAGTCGAGGGGAGACTCAGAGGTACGAGTACTTGCAGTGTCTGCTGAACCGGATTCGGGGTTGGTGTCATGGTGAGCACCGTTGCTGGTATTATATCCCTGAGCTATCAGGTTAGAGGAGTTGTAGCGAATCGGGTGTCCGAGCTTACCGTAGTGCTAATACCCCGGCGGTGATGGTGTGCTCGGTACGGGCGATGGTGATGGCGGATCAACTTGGGCTGGAGCACTCGCTTACTACCGAACCTGAACATGGTCGAATATTGCAGACTTTTCTTAGGCTTACCAAGCCTGTCTTCAATATTTTAGCCCTTTAGAAAGGAAATGTGAGATACGATAGACTCGCCTCGTGGTTGTGAAATCTTTTTCTTTCTATCCTCGTCTATGTCGAGTGTTTGGCAAATGGCGTCGCACTGTGACTTCACGGAACAGTCAGGAGCATGGATCCTCTCTCTATTTATAACTGCGAGAGGTGAAGCACTCAAATCTGGGTGACAAAGATTGCCTAATACATTGGGGCTTTTCTCATTTCCGGCCCTATCATCACTAAATTTTGACCCACTGTGTCAGTGATTGCCGACCTGGGTTGCATCTAGGTCTGGTTCGAGCGGACTTAGAGGGATGACCGGAATGTGCTGCGTCTATTGCTAAAATAGATATAAATGGCTATAAAAAGGTTGGTTATCTGAAAGAGTAAGGGCTAGGGATGTACCGCGCGGGGAGAAAGCGCGATTAGGTTCCGGAATCTAGGCATAGCACCTCGGGTTGCAAGAGGTAGTAGACCAGGGGGGGGTGGAGGTGCTGTGGTTAGGTGATAGGGGAAACCAAGCGCGGGGTGAGCCAGATAAAAGGTAGCTGTTGGCTGTGTTTGAGATGGAAGAGCAGGGGGATGGCGTTTGGAGAGGTACTTTATGCGCATAGAAGAATAAAGAACAGCTTATATCATTTGAGTTGCTGCGGGAGGCGTATATTCATATATAGTGTGAAGATGTTGAATGAATGTTTGTTTCTTTATGAGCCCCCGGAAACTGTGAAGCACGTCGGTACGGTTGATGTCGGGCCTCTAAACGGTGCGCGGTGTATTAGAAAAAACGGTTACAGAGGCGAAATTTGGAAAAACGGGGTTGGTATATATGCTTCAATAAGAACTATTCACAGAGCAGGTGGGACCCTTGGCATCGATAAAGAAATCCTGATTCCATATACACGCTGCCGCGTAGTGCACTCCAATATACCCCAAGACGGTAAAACAAGATACATACTCCCTGCAGAAGAAAAGGAGGTCCCAATTTCTGGTTTATGGAGCGACCCCCGGACACGGTGGAATCATTAGACGTCATTCGACTTTAGATATCTCCAATGACATGGCTAAATCACGTGGGGGTGTGTACGGAATGCGCGGCCTAACATGATGGGACTTTCCCGAACCTCTGGCGTGAGTTTACAAGGAATATTCGGTGTACAAAATGGATTTAAAAGGCGGTGTTGTTGTTAGAAATTGGTTGCGCAGACGATGTGGAAGGCAAGGGTATCTCTTAGCGGTGTGCTCAATGCCGATGTATGTGGGTGGTGCGATGATATTTCTACCCGCCTCCTGAATTCTTGCTCATAGCCTGCGACTCACATGGACTTGGATTCAACTCTCGCTACGATACAAGGAGAAATAAATTTATTGAATGCTACTAAATGTAATTCGCTTCGCTTCTTGCCACGGGCTGTGAAGGGGTTATTCGATATCAACATGGAGCCACAACAACTCCATAGCCCGAGATGTCTTCACTTCTCTGAGTTTAAATGCCTTCGAGAGGGTTTACGGGAAATTGAAAGAGTCTAGAGTATGAAAGAGAATTTTGCGGTCATGGGGAAGTATATCGGCAGTCCGACCTGCTATATAGAGATCAATAGATCTAGGTGATATGAATCGTGAAGGTCGGGAATGGCACGATCTTGGGTCACTCGGAGAGGGTGTTTCCTCCGGTTTTATCCTGTGATTCATTATATCGCACTAGGGCACCATCCTTGCCGTATCCCATTAGTATAGAAGCTCATTGGCAACATAAGACCCAACCCTACTTTATATGTTCAGTTCCGGCGAATGGCCATGATGATGGGAGAGAGCGAAGTTGCCGCGGCGGTGGCCAGTGAAACTAGATTCCGCGAGTATCTAATATCAAGCTCTCTCATTTTCTTCTGCATTCCGTGAGTGGGTGTGAGGTTGTAAGCCTGTTTGCCGCCGTGGGGGTTTTGAGGAGTATGGGTGTATTATTTCTTAAGCTGTTGAAATGTATAGGACTAGCCTACACAGGAAACCGGGAGTAAATCTATGCCGGCTTTGTCGTTTTCATCATTGCAATGCTGAGCAGCACAGATTTTGCCGTACTCACTACACTTTCATTGGATAACGGGGTTTTCCTATCACGATTACTCAAATAGGTTAGTGCTATTCATTTCAATTCGGTCTGGAATCTCTCAACAGCTTAAGAGATAACATTACCAATAAAGAAGAAGCATTACAAAGAAAAAACCCCTGGCTTATTCAATAATACCAACCTCGCAACAGCAGTCAGATAAGATTGAACTGCGCATGCACCACTCTACCCTACCATATCTGCACGGTAACCCCCCCCGGTCCCGCATCAAAATTGTATTAACCCCGCCTCTCGCAGCTTAAAACTTGACAGAATCCCACAGATTGATCCATGCCCCGCCAGACACGAACAGACACTAAACCAATCAACCTAAAAAATAGGCGAGTAACCAAATGCGGCCACTCGGGGAGTGTTCCTGATCTGGGACCTGTTTAGTTGCGATTGAGCATTCGGGGCCAAAGCGGTAGGAAGGATAATGGGATTCCGGGCTTGAGAGTTACCGAAGATCAGCCTGCGAGAATAGCTGAGAATAATGAACCTATTAGAGCTTTAACGGGAAAAAAAAAAAGATCAAAATTGACATCACTCACCAACTTTAAGATATTACTCATATCTCGGAGGTTCTTAGAACTCAAGGAAGATAGCAAGGCGTGGCAGGTCGGGGTAGTTACAGAAATGCTGTACTCGTAGGTGGTTCATCTTGTTCTGGGGATATCGTGATTTATGGAGAAAGTGCTCCGGACATGTCATTGCTTTGTTGTCCCGGGAGTAAGCGAGGAAATGGGGACATACATGGAGGAAAAGAGAAAATGAGCGGCAAGTTATCCATGAAAGTACCAGGATAGCCTTGTCATGTTTTATATATGGTTTGAGGTGTGATGAGCAAGAAAATGGCGTTTATGATCATTCCCGCCCGATAGCTATTCCACAATGACCAATTCCCATTCGATTCCATTCACCATACAGCTATACTACCGGCACTTATTGGTTCCGGGAGAAGAGTGGCAGTACCGGTAGAATCAAGTAGTACTCGGTTGCGAGACCGCCGGTAATTCCGGAAACCGAGGCGATGTTCTAGAGGAGAAAACAACGAGATTAGTAATGCCTTCTGGGGGGCGGTTATGCCTCTCAGGGTGCCCTTGGAGTTAACTGTTTTTGCGGCATAAATTTCCAGATCGATTACCGTACTGAGAGGATGAATCAGGATGATATGCAGATTAATCAGCTCGGACGCTTGCACTATTGATAGAGAGAGGGTGTAAAGAAATTTCTGGATCAGTTGCGTAAGTTGAGGATTTTCGCGAGGTAGCTTAGGAATGTGAGACATGTTCCACAAATATCCCATTCGAGTGTAGTCAGGTGATATGCAATACACCGACTTTTCCGCAAGACTGCTATATATCGCAGAATACAGCCCCAGCCGAATTGATTACCGGTACTTCCAGAGTAGGGCGTACATTATGACGGGGTTTGTTACTACGACGAAGTACGGAGAGCCCAAAGTTAGAGCTCGGGGAGAAAGTGAGAGGTAGAGGTAATGGTGAGTTTGCTGGTTTGGTGTCACCAGGTGTGCAAAGGCTTTGTTACACTGGTCAAGGCAGGGACGTGCCGCATGGGGCGTTATCCAGCGTAACCAATAAATCATACGGTGTTCGATAATGGGTCTCGGTATGTTGGGTGGAAATTGATTTCCAATGTTGTTTTTTTTGGGGGGTGGGAGGGGGTGACTTAGGTGGGGTCACATGAGATAGCTTGCTCTTGTGTCTTTCCCATGATGAGGAAATAGTGTCCGAATGATAAGTTATCAGTGGCTTCCCTTCTGACTCCTAGGGCAGGGGATCGTGACTTGCGTAGCTTTGGTCTTGCGGTGGACTGGGTGGCCGGGTGCCTGTCGCAGTTATGGCCTGCACGGGAAGCTTATTCAGAGTGTGGTTACCCGCCAGTCGCGTTGATTGATGATGTGATTTAATTGACTAGAAATGAGGCGTCGGGAGAGAGTGGATGGGGGAGCAGGTATTCCTCTGTTAGAATATTACTTGGCCCACCAGCATTTTCCTCTTTACAGTGTACCGGTACTTGTACTACAAGGTACCGTATCCTTAGTGTGATAAGGGTCCCGAATGGGCCTGTGACATAATTAGTCATCTGGAATGCTCATGCCGAGTGCAATACTATGAATATTCGCTTATCCCGCATGCCCGAGACATTATTGCTGAGCGAAATACCGGTAGAATGGGAACGTGGCGATATCCATACTAGCCCCCATACCATTGTAATCATTTAAAAGCTGGGGGTTGATCCGGTGTCCAGGCACCGCCCTTTAAATCGCGACACAATGTGGCGACTTTCCCTAGTCAGAGCCAGGACATCGTTGAAAAATCTGACCCAACCAAGAACAATCAAGCATGTCGCTATTATCCCTACCAAATGAACTCCTTCTCCAAATTTCCCATGAATTGAAAGGAGATTTGCGCGACTTCAGCGCGTTCGTGCGTACAAGCCGCTTGTTGGAGAGTCTTCTGGCAGGCGCCCTGATAGACCATGTATTTAATACACGGTCAATGATGTACGGCAAACGAGCGCTATATTCTGCGGCACAGCGTGAAGATGTCATCGCAGTCAGTTTCCTTCTGGACCGTGGAATCCTCTCGTTCGTCTGTGATGAGCCTGGGAAAGAAGACTACTTCCTCCACACTGCTGTGCGAACAGAGTCACACAACACTATCAGCACACTCCTGACCTGCGGTCTTCCGTCATTTCTGCGAGGCAAGTACGGGCAAACACCTCTTGCCATAGCTGCCGAAACCGGGAATCTCGGCGCCGTGGAAGCACTTCTTGAGAGTGTTCAAGTGGACGTGAATGCAAAGGACATATGGGATAGAACACCCCTCTGGCTGGCGGCGTGGCAGGGACACGCGGACGTTGTCAGAACACTGCTCAGGAGGAGAGAAATTGATGCAAATTCCCAACAGAGCAACAAGGACCTGAATGGGCATGAAACACCACTTGCTATCGCTTGTCGCTACGGGCACGTTTCTGTTGTACAAGAATTACTAGCAGATGAAAAAGTTGATGTCAACTCCCGCGACGATGCGGGTTTCACACCAGTCCACTTGTCGGTCACGAACTCCTGCAGTGATATCCTCCGCCTGCTGCTCTCCCACTCATCGGTCGATGCCCTTATCCCGTTCGCGAGCGGGCGTACACCACTGCATACCGCTGCGGAGCTTGGGAACCTAGACGCCTTCATCCAGCTCCTCCGCTTCCCAGAAATTACAAATCCGAATATCCCAGCAGCAGATAATTGGACACCACTCGGCCTCGCGGTATGGAATGGACGAGAAGGCATTGTAAGAGCGCTCGTGGAGGATGGGAGAGTAGACATCAACGGGATTGCGGGAGCGGGACAGACGGCAATTTTTCTTGCAGGGAGGAGGATGTGGTACCGGGTGGTGAAGCAATTACTTGAGGTTGAGGGTGTGGACATATATAAACGAGGGACAGAGAGTGGTATGTCCTTTGCGGAGTTCGTGGAAAATGGGAAAGACTTGAGGATGAAGGAGTTGTTGAGATGGAAGGTCGAGAGTGAGCGGCATTGAATCTAGGTGGGAATGAGGTGGAATACCGGGCACCGTATCATAGCATTTCATAGATAGCTTCAGCACGGTAATTTACCTCTGGGAAGCCTGCATAGGTTTTCCAGAAAGTTCTTGCCGTGTGAGTCCCCGTCCATAACTGCCGGTCTTGTAGGTTAGCATAATTAACCGAACATTTGGCGCCGCAACGTTCCGCCACACGCAACATCTCAGCCGGTCCCCCTCACTCCCGAACCCCACAGTATGATATGATACCTTTACCGCGACAAAAAACTCCTACTATGCAAGATATTAATTTTTAAAATATTTTTCAAATGTGGTTTTGGTAGTCAATATTGTAAAAGAGGTACATACGCCTCATTGCGTCGCGGTGCTCGGTTAATTGATTCTGACGCAGAATACTATAGTACTGTGCCGCATTCGATTTTCTTTTTTCCCAAGTATTATATGCATAACAGACCTTTTTTGGTGTGGCAACGAGAAGGATTGTGACCCGTTGCCCTACCCGAAGCAATTAGCAGAGCAGAAATGAGATATCGTACATATTCCCGAAACAATGAGAGGTGAAGTGGAGAAGCAATAAAACCAGTGCGTGAAATTATTTTCACCCCAACACCGGACTCTAGTCGGTATTAGAGCGCGAAAACTCCCAAATTTTGGTGTTGTTGCTGGCGATGTCGCCTTACAACTTTTTCTTCACTCGCAAGACGTCTTGGCGCCAAGACGTCTCGATGCAGCAGAAGGGTTACATACATGCAGCCGCATTCGCAAAGCTCGCGTGCCATTCCTAGCACGCACAGCGCTAGCAAACGCTTCCTCTCCCATTAATCTGCAAAGAAAATTGTGGCACAATATTACGGTATCCTTAGGGGCATATCCGAAGACGGTCGGCCAAAAGACTTTTATCGTTGGAGGCTGTATAGTGAAAGGCTGATGCCATTCCCAGTATCGTAGCTTATTACAAAATTTACATGACCCAGGGTCGTGAGGATGTTGGACTGGTGTCCCATTGTGGGTACTAAAAACATATGGGGAAAGACATTACAGTAAACGTAAGACAACAAAAGCCGTAAATCTTCTGAAGCAATTATACAAACTCGGGAATGGCACTCGTGCCCATACTTCCAGAGTAGTTGTTCACACATGGCGGGTAAGTTAGAACTCTTGATACCCTGAGAGAAACCTTGGTCCCGTGGACGTACTACCGTATAGCCCGCTCCAATCGGGTGATGGGCACTATCATCCTGGTCGTCATAATTGTGTCAATCACTACTCCATTCTACTCCAAGGGGGTAAAATTATTATAGGTATATAGTCCCCACAGAGAAAGCAGGGGTCTCAATTCCTGGCGGACTGGGCATCCCCCAGGATCGGGAGGTATCGCAAATTATCACCCGATTTATTCGATTTCCCGTCTAGCTAGATTCCTGTCAAAACATTTGCGGCGGTGTGTGGTG